GCTGTGAGAAGACTGGCCATGTCCACATACTCCTCCAGACCAGCTTCTTGTCACTAGTCAGCCCTCTTCATTCCAGTCAATGATTCTCGAACTACAGAGTGTGAGAATCATCTGGCAGTACTTCTTTTAAAAGGAACATTTCAGGAAGCCACCCAGGTCTAGGCCGGGGCACAGGAATACGAACTTTTAAGGACCACTCAGGTCGAGCTAAATAGTTATACATGTTTTTATTGTGGTAAAATATGCAAAACATGAAATTCACCATTTTAACTATTTTTAAGTGCACAATTGAATGGCATTAGTACATTCACATTGTTGGGTTGCCATCACCGTCATCCTTCTCCAGAATTGTTTCCTCATCATAGACTGAAACTCTGCAGCCATTAAAAAAGAACTCTCATTTCCTTCTCCCACTAGCGCCTGACACATCATCCTCTATGAATTTGACCACTGTAGGCAACTCATATAAGTGGAATCATACAATGTTTGTCTTCTGGTGACTGGCATATTTCTCTTAGCATAATGCCATCAAGATTCATCCATACTGTAGCACGTGTCAGAGTTTCCTTCCTTTTTTACTGTGTGGATAGACCACATATTGTTCACCCATTCACCTGTCAATGGACGGTGGGTGGTTTCCACCTTTTGGCTGTGGTGAGTAATGCTACGATGAACATGGGTGGACAAATCTCTGTTCAAGTCCCTGTTTTCAATTTTCGGGGCATATACCCAGACCCGTCTCTCATGTCTCCCTCTGCCATTTTACCCCTTTTACTCCTGTGACCTAAAATGCCTTCTTGATTTCTATCTTTCAAGCCCCATTCCGTTTCCCTTGCCTTGTTGAAACCTATCTAAATCTCACCTCCTCAACGCCAGCTTGGGAGGCAGCATAGTGGAAGGGCACAGGCTCTGGGGCTAGACCGGTGGGTTTGTGCACCTGTCTCAGAGACTTATCCGTCTGTGTCCTCGGACTACATACCTAACTGCTCTAACTTCAGTTTTCCTATCTGTAAAAGGAGACATGAAAACACGCTTGTAAGATCATTTGAGAGGATTCAGTGGGAAGGTCCGTATAAAGCTTCTGGCACAGAGCAGGTATTTAATAAATGGTGGTGGTTGTTAGAATTTTTCCAGAAAGCTTTTCCTGACAGGGTAGATATGAGATGTAGCACTTTGCAAAGCAAACTCCGCACTCACAGAAGATGAGACAAATAAAATCCCCTCTCCTCACGGAAATAACCCTAAGGTTTCTGCCACTGTAAATTAGTATAAGTTAGCAGCAGGTAAACTCTTGGAATTCAGTAAGTGATGTTTTCTGAGTAATTTCTATTTCTCTTGCAGTAATTAAAATATATTTTATCTTGTTTTATCCTCAGTAAGCTCCCAGAACTGCTGCTTAGAATCCTGTCATTATTTTTCTAAATGCCTTCTAGGATTTAAGAACCTGATATATCCCCAATCTCTGACAATTAGAGTCAAAACCCAGGCACCCAAGTCTGTGTGCCTGTAGCCAGCCATGTACCAGGGAATAGCACCGAGGCTAGAGGAGAATGAAGCAGGCTTCTTGTTTCTGAGGAGGCCACAGGCATTCAGGCAAGACATACATGCATGAGGCAATCCAGGGAACAATACGAGACACCTGTGACTCATCCACTTTATATCAAAGCAAGTAGAGGGTGTGGACAGAGCTGTTCATGTTAGCATAAGCATTATGAAAAGAAATAGCACAGCAACTATGAAAATATACTATGGAGGCAGGGGGACAGGAAGGAAGGAATATAGCCTGAAAACAGGTGAAAGAGTCCAGGCTGGGAGAAAACCCCGAGCTGAAAACAGAAACAAGTTCCTCACCAGTGTTTCATGTTTCAGAGTATGATAAAACAACATAAATCCAAAGACTAGATAATTCTAAAACTGAATGAGATGAAGAGATTGCAGGGTTAGGAAAACAATTGGCAACTAAATACAATTACATAGCTAATAAACTAGTTAGAAACAACAACATACAAGTCCAAAAATAGAATGGTTAAAGGAAAGGTTTGAAACCATCATAATCAATGCAGAGAAAAAAAGAGGCAGAGATTCAAGCAATTAGAAGATGGGAAGTTAGGAGGATAAAAGAAAGGAAGGGAGGAAGAGAGAAAGGAAGGGGGGAAGGAAGGAAGGAAGGAAGGAAAGAAAGAAGGAAGAAAGGAGGGAAGGAAGGAAAGAAGGGAGGGAGGGAGGGAAGGAAGATTAGCCAACATAAGAATAATTAATATCCCTAAGTAGAAAACCATATAAATGAAACAGAAAAGATATTCAGGGATATAATACAGAAAAAAATTTTCTTCAATAAGGGACTGAATTTGCAAAAAAAAAAAAAAAGGCACCTGACATACCAGAAAAAAAGCAGAAACTGGTCCACACCGACATATCCTGTTTAAGTTATTGAACTTAAAAGCATAAATAATTTTTCAGGAGTGCAGGCAGAAAAAAAAAGTCATCATAAAAGAGAAAATTCAAGTTCGACTCAGACATCACATTGGACGCCAGAAGTAAATAAAGCAATGTCCACAAAATACTGAGTGGGAAAATGTATGCCCCACAAATGCTATAGCAGGTAAGTTGCATCAGGTCTAAAGGCAGTAGAGGCATCTCAGACATGATAAGCCTGTCTTGAACACGCAATCCAACACACAAGCCAGAAAACTGTGAATTATTTGAGCTAACCAACTTGGGAATAGAGAACCCAGAGAATAAAAGGCTGGTGGTAAGCACTGTATTCATTTAAATATGGAATTGTTGCAGAGCAGAATAAAAACATGTAAAACTCCCAACAAAATGAAAATTATGTAAACAACAAAAATCGGGAGATGGGAAGGGGAGATGAGATGAAGTACAGAGTGCTAGCCATTTCATCTTTCACAGCAGGGAGTCAGCCAGACTGAAATGAAAGCATAATTTTAAAAGTCAATGACTAAAGCTTCTTAAAATAATTTTGAAAAATGGTTTTTCTTATCCATAGAGGGATCTGATAGGTACAAGTGTCTCATGTAGCTATGAAACATTTATCCAAGACTGAATAATGCCTTCAGCTTAATTTCCATTTTTTTCTATTATATGTAAGGACAAATACATTTAACGTTTTCATATTTTAAAAGTACAGTCCAGGCATGGTGGCTTACTCCTGTGATTTCAACATTTTAGGAGGCCAAGGTGGGAAGATTACTTGAGCCCAGGAGTTCGAGATCAGCCTGGGCAACCTAGCGAGACACGCATCTCTAAAAAAATTTTAGAAACGCGTGGTATGTCGTGGCATGCGCCTCTAGTCCCAGCTACTCAGGAGGCTGAGGCAGGAGGATCGCTTGAGCCCAGGAGGTTGAATCTGCGATAAGCTATGATTGCACCACTGCACTCCAGCCTGGGTGATAGAGTGAGACTCTTGTCTCTATAAAAAATAAATAAGAGAATGTAACACATGACCCCATTCTTATAAAATGATTTATCTATCATTTATTTGCTGACCATTGTATCTGTATTTATATTTTGAAATATGTCAGGACTGATATTTAGCAAATATTTATGTTGTTTTTTTCTGGGTGGTGGGATTTGGGGAGATTGCAAATTTTTGTGCTGCTTGAATTTTTATAAGTATGTATCATCTTAACAAAAATCACCAAAATCTCTACTTAGAAACATTAAAGGAAAGGTTAAAGTGAGAGTAGTCCAAAATCAGTTCTAGAGCAGAAGGGCTGGGCACCACAAGCTGGTATGTGGCGAAGGCTTTGGCCTCCCTCTGTGAGACTTTTGACCCTCTCCGACAGGGATGGCCAGATATAGAAGACAGTTGCTTGGAGGAGATGAAGTTGGAACTGAGTGCTGGAGAGCGTCTGCTTTGCCAGGCATTTCGTGAATTATCTTACTTAATCTTCCTAGATCTATAGAGTAGGAAGTATGTACTCCATTTCAAGGATAAGGAAACTGAGGCCAGAGAGCGACAGTAAGGAAGAACATGCTAGACAGAAGCACAAAGCACAGGCACTTCTGGGAACTGAAAGTGCAGTGGGAACTCTGACTGGCAGGGCTCAGACCTGGCCTCCCAGGGCAGTTGAGTAGAACTCTGGGGAGGAGAATATACCAGTTTGAGTGAGGGAGGTTCCGTACAAAGACTCTGAGGTGGGACCTTGTAACTCTGTGTTTGAAAACAATAGGGCTTGTCTTCAGAACTAGATGGCAAGGAGATCAGACAGGGGAGGGAGCAGCGATGGACGTCCATCCCCCATGCCACAACAGACAGGATCCTGGGCACTGGAGACCAGCTCCCAGCAGTGGTGAGCAGCAACTGACTAAGGCTGCAGGTCCTCCATGGGGATGCCATGCCCAAGAGAGGGGATGTAGAGGAAGACTGAAGCCGAAGCAGCAGGCAAAGGTCATGGTGGTGACTGTACCCAACCGAACCTGCAGGGCACAGAGACTCAGATCTCAAATGGGGTCACACTCTCAGAGATCATAAATGACTCTCCTGCTCCTTTTGCCTCCCAAAAGGTCATTAAGTCATTAATTATATAGCAAGTGACAATAAAATGGTCTCGGTCTTCCTCATCTTCCCCAGAGTTCAGAGCCTTGGGACTCATGACCCAAGGGTTCTGTTCTGAGCCAGCTGCCTTGCTGTATCTGAGCTTCAATATTCCACTTGAAACTGGTCATTGCCTGGATGGCAGAACTGTCATGGTACAGCAGTCTTGGCCTTGAAGTCCACGCCCATGACCTACCCACTGGGCAACCTCAGTGAAGCCCCTCAGCCCTTCCTACCATAAATGGCAGGGAATGATTCTAATGCAGATGCATAGAAGGGCCCAGAATGTCTTCAGAGAACATCAGTCCTGCCCCCATCCTTGCTTTGACCTTTGAAGCTTATTCCTTCCCTCTCCATGGATGGAATTTTCCCAAGCCCCACTCCCACCCCCGAGACCGAAACCATCTCACGGGACAAGCTAGAGGCAAAGAGTATGAGCTCGTAAGTCCAATAAATTTTATTTGAATCATGGCTCTGCCACTTGCTAGGTGTGTGACCCAGGCTGAATTTGTTAAACTCTCAGGCCCCAGTTTCCTCAGACATAAAATGGAGATATTATCTACCCCATCTATCTGTCATGGAGCTTAAATGGGACAGCACAGATAAGGTGGCTGAGAAATGGGAGATATCCAACGATGGCGACTCCTTTCTGCTGAACCCATTCCTTACTATCATGGTCGTGGATTTCCTTCACACTCCTGACCTCTGTTAGAGCTGGGTGCTGGTTGGTAGCTCCTGACCTTTGTTAGAGATGGGTACGGTTGGTGGCTCCTGGCCTGTTAGAACTGGGTGCTGGCTGGTGGACTTGGACAGTCAGGCTTCCTCTCTGGGATCAGTTTCTCCACCAGCTGCTGGGCTGTGGGTCTAGTTGGCCTCTGATCACTTGACCCTGTTCATAGGTCCTGGCCTTGGGTCAGATTTCTGCCAGTCAGGAGGGCAGGGCTGGGCTGCATGCTGGACAGAGCCTTCAGATTCCAGGGCTGAAGGAGAACGGAAAGAGACACCTGTCAACCACAGCTCTCCAACAGAAACATGACATGAGCCACCTGTGCAATTTAAAATTTTATAGTAGCTGCATTTTAAAAAGTAAAAAGAAGTGGTGAATTTTAATGTTGTATTTACCCCAACATATTATCATTTCAACATGTAATTAATATAAAAATTGAGCTATTTTGCATCCTTCTCCTATGAAGTGTTTGAAACCTGTGCTCTGCAGGCACATGTGATACTAGACAGCAAAGATTTTCAAGACAGAAACCAAGGGTATGATGACAAGGAGAATGGCGTGGACAAAGGAAGCTTTGCAGGAGGCCCCCCTTGCTCTGTGACTCCCCTACCCAATTGGGTTTCATTCCCAACTCTGCTCTCAGCAGGTTCCCTTCCTGGGAAAAAAGAAGGAAAGGGAAAGGTAGGGGCGGGGAATGGAGGGAAGAGGGACAGAGAATAGAATAGAAAACGTCCCTCTGGGTCCCTGGCCCTGGGGGATTTGCGGACAGGGGATCTAGCTTCAAGTCTCCCCACAACTTCATTCAACACATGTTTATGATGGCAGCCCAGCAACAGGCCTTGGGAGGAGTGGCAAGTGGACCAGGCGGGCCCCTGCCCTCACAGAGCTTCCATTTCAAAGTGGAGCAGGCTTCCTTGGTGCTCATGAGGCACCACACTCATCTAGAAAGAGCCTAAGACCTGGAGACCTTCAGGGAGGCCTGGAGAGCTCCTCCTTGACCAAAGAGCAGCTCCCAACTGCTCAGGCCCCAGTCCTCTGCTCCCCACCTGCCACTCCGGGTGTCCTCAGTCCACTGATGCCCTGATTTTCACCACATCCCATCATTCCCACTCCCCCTCCGCTATCCCCTCTCCCGGCCACTCTCAGGCCCCGCCAGAAAAGCTGGCCTGCCTGGTCACAGAGTTCCTGAAAGAAGATAAGCTCCCTCCTGCTGTCCTGAGGGTGGCAAAGCACAACAGTCAGGCTTCCTGGTGACAACAGCTGCTGGACAAAGACTACCCCTTCCTGCCATGACACAGACTCCTCACCTCATGCCTGGCATGCTTGCTGAGTGACTGTTGGGTGATGTAAACCTCCCAACTCAACACAGACGCCCATCCAGACCAGGATTCACCCACTCTCCTGGTCTCCTCACCGCAACCTGATATTCTTAGAGGGCGCGGGGTTTCTGCTACTAGCCAGTTGCATAATCCCAGGTGCGTTCCTCTCTCCTCTCTCAGTGTACACCCTCATCTGTAAAATGGGGTAGTAACCCCTGCTTTTGGGATGGTTGTGAGAATGAACTTAGGTCATAAAGACTCATGGCACACGGTGAACGCTCCATGCTGGGGAGAGCCTACCCGCCATCACCCCCTTGCCCACAGGGACAGGTCTTTTGGGGTGCCTGGCAGAGCCTGGGATCCATCCAAGGCTCCACAACCAGGAACTGCAGAGTATGCATCGTAGAACCCAAGGATCTCACTGGAGCTACTGGTGGAAGAGAGAGAAGGTTGCTCCTGGTGGATGGGGTTCTGGACCCTTCTTGCCTAATTCGGAGTGGCTTCACTTTTGTCTGCTTTATGTATTCAGGTTCCAAATAGCGTTGTTAGAAATTTCTGACACCTTGAGAGTTTGAGGTCACTTCTTTCTAACTTCATCATTTTATAGATTGGGGAAATGGAAGCCTTGCCGAAGATCATGGAGAGAAGGAGGTGCAGAGCCTAGCAATGGAGCCAGAGCTCTGTGGCTACGAGCGGGTTCACTCCAGTGCTGGGGGAAGGGGGCTGCTAACTACTGCCCCACAGCTTCCCTGGGCAGAGTTCAGACTCAGCTATCAACACCCCTGGCTCAGGCAGGGCACTCAGCTCCCGGCTCCTTACCTTCCCGGATTCTGTGGGCACAGGGAGGCATCTCGGTCAAGGGTGAGTACGTATAGAGCTCAGAGGCAGGGAGCGCCAAGATCACGGGGAGTGGATTCAGCCTGGACTCTCCAAGTGCAGTGGGGTTGTCCTATGCTCACGGAAGTCTCTGGACACAAGCCTGGGTACCCAGAGATCCCCTCTAATAGGAAGAGAGTGTGAGCTGCTCTTTGGGCTCTTGGCCTCCAATCAAGAAAAGAGTCTCCATGCACAGACTGGTGCCCGGTGCCAGGTGCTGGCGGGATGCAAAGGTGATCACAACACAAGTCACTATTTACAGAGAAGGGCTTTCAGGGTATGGAAGTGTGCTGTATTTTGATTTTTATACATTCATCAAAATTCATCAAGACATACACTTACAGTCTGAGCATTTTATTGTATGTAAAATGTACGTCAATGACTTAAAAAATCACCTGAGGGAGACACTAGGAAAGAGGAAAATTTGAGTGGGGCCACCAGGTAGGTATGTGCCTCCTGCACAAAAGCCAGAGAAGAAAGGACTCCATCACACCGCCCAGAGATGGGTGTGGCTGCCCGCCCCAGCAGGGGGCCCCTGGAGTGCCCGGATGGGTTCTGTGTCAGGAAGCCCAGGTCAGACGCGCCCATCTGCGTGTGCACATTTTTACCAGAACCCTCCCTCCGCACAGGCCTCTCTTCAGTGTGGAGTACACACCAAGACCTGCCCCCAGGCTGGGCGCAGGCCAGTTAGCTCTTGGTCCCTTTCCCGTCCTCAGCCACACCCTCAGGGTTTGGGGAAGAGGCTGGGAGAATTCGCCCCTGACTTGGAGGAGGAGGATCTGTCAGCCTGCAGCTTCATTTCCCTCCAGTCCACCAATGGACCTCCCTCTTGCAGAGGGAAATTGGGGCAGGCACAGGCCATTTGCAGAGAGGGGCTCTGGGAGCACTCTGCGGAGCTGCTCCAGATGACAGGGTGTGAGCCGCCAGCGGCTTGGGGTGGCTGACTGGGAGCCGTGTCTCATCGCTTGGGAAGCCGGGTGCAAGCGCCAACAGCTCCCCTGACGCGGGAGGTGGGGGTGGGGGGCAGGTGCTGCTGCCGGGAAACAGCAGCCCCCACTCCGCCAGTCTTTCAGTCCGGCAGCAAGTCCCCCATTAAGCATCCCACGCACCTGGCGCATTTTCCCTGGGGGTCTACACCCTGGTGGAGCCCGTACCTGGCCTCCTGGTGGGGAAGGGGCAGCCCTTCCTGGCTCCGGAGCAGGAAGTTCCCGGAAGAGGGCGACTCTCTGGGCGAGGCCAGGCCTGGGGGAGGGGCGGATCCGCCACCGCAGCCCCCAAACAACCAGGCCACACCCCTCTTACTATAACAGGTGAGAGCTCCCCCACCCAGGCCTCCCTGGCCAAACTCGCCTTCTGCCCTCTCTAACCTTGTAACTGCCACGACGAGGCATGACTGGCCCCTGCCATCTTCCCCTGCTGAGCTGCCCTGGTAACGTTCCGATGCCCAGCCTCCCCCAGGAGGAGGCTCACGCTGTCGACCTCTATGGGGAAAGCCACCAGAGGAGAAGCAGAGTGGCCCAAGGCAGTACCCAGCTCCTGCGGCTGCTCAGGATCCGGCAGTGCCTGTGATACTGCCAGGTCGAGCCAACACAGATCAACTCATTGATTTTTTTTTTAATCATTTAAAAAAAAAACAAAAAAACCCTCCTCCAATGGTCAGGAAGGAGTTTGAAAACTGTAAGCTCAGCAGAACTGGGGGCCTTTCCTCTTCCCAGTGTCAGGGAGTGGCAAGTCTAGAAAGAGGAGAGGGTTGGCCCGGAGCCTCTAGGGCCATCTTTGTGCTGTGCAGTGCCCTGCCACCGCCACTGCCCCCCACTGCAGCCCTGCCTCCCTCCAGCTCTGCCCCCACACCTTGCCCAGTGCCCACTGCTCCCAGGCCAACACACACATTTTTCCAGCTTTTGGGCTATGAGTGGACTGCACCGGCTGAAGCCAACATCAGAGACGAATGGGACAGCAGAGCGGTGGTGGGTAATCAGCCCCAGGTGGAGGCGCCCAAAGTCCACTGCACTGTGGATGGTAGAACTGCTCCTCAGCCAATATACAAGTGGCCCTCAGAACAGAGAAGTAGCCAAGGAGGGTGGGCTTCTGCCTTAGGATCTGTCTCCTCCACAGCTCAGCCATGAGCTATGAGGGTGCCCTGGAGACCTCAAGACTGAGGAACAGGTCCCTGGGTCTGTGAAACACTCATGGATTGAGAAGAGGACGGGAACAGAGGGTCAGGGCTGAGCTTCCTGGGTAAGGGGGGATGTCCACACAGGGACAACAGCTCTACAGAGAACTATTGGGGGTGGGAGTGCAGGCTGGCGGGGCTTGGCTTTGCTGTAGGGGTCGGGGCTTTGCTGGGCACCCTACTCCCCAAAAGTGGAGATTGGAGACAGCAGGCAGCAGCCTGAGGGGGTGAGACAAGCACTCCTCACTCCATCTCCATCACTCCATCACTCCATCTCACTCCATCACTCCATCACTCCATCACTCCATCTCACTCCATCACTCCATCTCACTGCAGCACTCCATCACTCTATCTCACTCCATCACTCCATCTCACTCCATTACTCCATCTCACTCCATCACTCCACTCACTCCATCACTCCATCACTCCATCTCACTCCATCTCACTCCAGCACTCCATCACTCTATCACTCCATCACTCCATCTCACTCCATCACTCCATCTCACTCCATCACTCCATCTCACTCCATCTCACTCCATCTCACTCCATCACTCCATCTCACTCCATCACTCCATCACTCCATCTCACTCCATCACTCCATCTCACTCCATCACTCCACTCACTCCATCACTCTATCTCACTCCATCTCACTCCAGCACCCCATCACTCCATCACTCTATCACTCCATCACTCCATCTCACTCCATCTCACTCCATCACTCCATCTCACTCTATCTCACTCCATCACTCCATCTCACTCCATCATTCCATCTCACTCCATCTCACTCCATCACTCCATCACTCCACTCACTCCATCACTCCATCTCACTCCATCTCACTCCATCACTCCACTCACTCCATCACTCCATCTCACTCCATCACTCCATCTCACTCCATCACTCCACTCACTCCATCACTCCATCTCACTCCATCTCACTCCATCTCACTCCAGCACTCCATCACTCTATCACTCCATCACTCCATCTCACTCCATCACTCTATCTCACTCCATCACTCCATCTCACTCCATTACTCCATCTCACTCCATCTCACTCCATCACTCCACTCACTCCATCACTCCATCATTCCATCTCACTCCATCTCACTCCATCACTCCATCACTCCACTCACTCCATCACTCCATCTCACTCCATCTCACTCCATCACTCCACTCACTCCATCACTCCATCTCACTCCATCACTCCATCTCACTCCATCACTCCACTCACTCCATCACTCCATCTCACTCCATCTCACTCCATCTCACTCCAGCACTCCATCACTCTATCACTCCATCACTCCATCTCACTCCATCACTCTATCTCACTCCATCACTCCATCTCACTCCATTACTCCATCTCACTCCATCACTCCACTCACTCCATCACTCCATCTCACTCCATCACTCTATCTCACTCCATTACTCCATCTCACTCCATCTCACTCCAGCACTTCATCTCACTCCATCACTCCATCACTCCATCTCACTCCATCACTCCATCTCACTCCATCACTCCATCACTCCATCTCACTCCATCACTCCACTCCATCTCACTCTATCACTCCATCCATTTCACTCCATCACTCCTTGATCACTCCATCTCACTCCATCTCTCAGAGTTCAGAGTAGCCCTCCCCAGCAGCTGGATGCTGGTCTCTTCCAGCCTGGCGGCTTCTGCAGCATTAGCAGCTGCCAACTGCTGAGGAGAGTGCCTGTCCCTTCCCTCGGGGCCTCTCAGTGAGCCTGTGCCCCACATCCCAGGCGCCTCAACCAGTACACATGTCCTAGTAGTGCGACAGCGCTGTCAGCAGCCAGGGCCGCGCCCCTGAGCTTGCCTGTCTCCTGGCCACCCCCACAGGCTCCCCTGTTGAGAGCTGCAGGGTGGAGGGAAAGGGTCCGACACCATCTTCCAGGGAGCGTCTTGCCAGCGAGCCCAGTGCCGGCTCCTGGCCTCAGTGTCCTCTGTTCCAGCCCCTGTCCCTTGATTGGACACTGCAGTTCTGTCCAGGTCATCTGAGCCATGTCCCATGCTCTCCTTGACTCTCAGGGAGACTCCCAGCTGTGCATCCTGGAAAGAAGAGGTGAGGCCTGATGTGTGGGCCCGGCCTCTGTTCCACCTGCTCTGTCCCCAGGGTCCCCCAGGGTCCCGCAGGGGCCGAGGAGGAGGGAGTCTAGAATCCCACCAGCATACGTGAGGGGAGGAAGTGGAAAGAGGGGCGGCTGCGCGGCGGTGGGTAGGGCGAGTGGGGTAAGGAGGCCAAGCGGGCCAGGGGCACGGGAGAGAGCGGGTGGCGCCAGGCTGGGGCACCGAGGGCCAGTTAGCCCCTCCCTCACACACACCCCGGGGCTTCCCAGGGCCCGCGCCACCGACCTCCACTATGCAGACCCTCTGTGATACCCAGAGCCTGAGTCCTGACCTCCGGAAGACCCCAGGCTGAGGACCATGCAGGACAGTGAGGAGGCGAAGGAGGCACCCCTCACCCGGGGCCAGGTGCAGGCCTCCTGGGGACAGCATGCTGTCTTCCCCAGAGAGACCTGGCCTGCCGGCGCCCACCACTCCAGCCCCAGCCCACTTTCCACCCCACTCACCTGTTCCCTGCCCCCAGGTTGTCCCCAGAGGTCTCAAAGGGCCCACTGTCCTCGCCCAGGCTCCAGCCCCGCCGCAAAGCCTGTGGTGCCACCTGGTGGTCATGTCTGGGATGGCAGGCGGACTCCAGGGACTTGGGAAGTAAGGGGTCTAGGCCTCTCCTGCTCCCTCCAGCTCTGTCCAACCACTCAACCCCTGCTTTGCTCTCCTTGGGACTTTTGGTCCTTATGTTGCTGGCCCCACTGATTCAGCCGCAGCGTTCACAGCTGCTTATTGGGTGTGCCGGAGAGCCACGCCATGCTGACCTCACCTGGGGTGTGAGAAGAGATCTGGAAATAACAGCAGCCCCCTGATGTGGAGTGACTTTGAACCCTCACAGCACTCTGGGGGAGGGCCTACTATTATCTCCATTTTACAGACGAGGAGCTGGCCTCCAGATGTTAAGTCACTTGCCCAAGGCTACGCAACTAGTAAACATGGCACTGCGTTGAACCACACACCCAGGAAGCCGAGAGCTTCCCACAGCAGAGGCCAGTGGAGTCCACAGCCTCCATCCCAGCACAAGCGCTAGCCTTGGATGGGGAGAGTGGAGAGAACGTAAACTAGGAGTTTGGTTTTAAACCCAGATCTAGCACTAACTCACTGTGGGACTCAGGGCAAGGCCCTTTCTCTGTGGGGCCTCCTCTACCCTGAGGGAGTCACACCAGGCAATCCCATGCATTCCTGAGCCGTAGCTGGGCCCTGGGCTCAGAGGTCCAGGCTGCTGCCTGCACGGCTGGGCTTGGCTGGGTGGCTGCAGCTCCCACAGGAAGGTACTAAGTGAAACTCTGAGTTCTGACGGTGGTGTCTGAAATGGGCCCTCACAGACTGCGGGTCAAGGCTCCATGACACCTTCTTTGTGCCCCACCTCTCCTCCTTCCAGGAAGCACCTCTACCAATTCCTGAAAGCCCCTGGCTTCCCCCTTGGAAGGCAGCCTTCAAAACCCTCCTCTCACTCCCCATGCACCGTGGGCTCCAGTCCCCTCGAGCTTCTTTCTGGCTATCGGAGGTGCTCTCCCGGGCCTCCCACTGCACAGGCCTCTCCGCCCTGGAATGCTCTCCCCTCACCACTTAGCCTGGAAGCCTCTGCCCCACCAGGCCTCAGTCCAGGCCTGCTCGGGTCCCTGTGTTATATGGCCCAACGGCACCCAGCACTTTCTATGGAATATGTACTACTTTGACTGGTACAGTCAGTCCTCTGGGAAGCCTCGCGGGGAGCATGTTGCCGCACCCTGGGTCCGGTGCTGCACACGGCATGCAGCAGATGCTCCAGATGCTTAAGCACTTCAGTGTGCAGCCTGCTGCAACTTTCCATCGCCACCTGCTCGTGGCATCTGTCCCCACACTTATTTTCACCCATTTTGTACCCCCTGCACCCCCGTCCACCTAAAGACAGGAGCTCTGCCTCTCCTGCCTCCCATAGAGGAGGGGAGAGGCTGCTGCTTGGGGTCCTCCTCCAGCCCTGGCTTCAGCCCGCTGTTATCCACATCACAGGCATCCTGGGAAGGTACCTGGCACATTGCCACCCCCCAGCCCAGGCCATGCTCTCCTCTCCTGGGCAGCAGAGCGCACACCTGGGGAGTGGACACATGTAGAATGCCAGGAGGAGGGAGGAGGCCCAGCCCCACTGTGGCCAGAGAGTGTCAGC